TTTTTTTTTTCAATTTCGCCCGGTGTACGTGAGGCACTTCCCATAACGCAATTAATAAACTCAACAAGCAAGATCCGATCGCGAGAGCGGGCGCGAAACTTGCGTTTCGGGAGCGCGGCGCACAATGGATTTCGGCGCTTGCGTGAGTGCGTACCCGTCCGAGAATCGTCGCTTGATACGCATCTATGTTGTCTCTACGAAATGAAAAGCGGCAAAAGAAATAAACAGCGGGTGGAAAGAGAGAAGGTTTTTCCCCAAAAGGGGCAGCAGCTGTGCGTTCGTATAGCCGCATCATGACGATTTCAATCATGACAAGCTTCCTCGAACAAGGTTCCTATTTTTCATTCGGTCGGATCGCAAGATGATTCAAATTCGTAATTTCGAGAAACCGAATCTACGTAATCGTTTCGATGTATCGATCGTGAAGGCGTTAATCAAATTGACCCGGCGTAATTTATATTACGTGACCTAATGCATATCGAATTGTTTATTAGCGCGCGTACTAAGTCAATTATCCGGTCGGTTTGGACGTTTGGGCGAGTGCGACGAGCATTAGCTGAAATATGAGCGAATTTACTGTTAATAAATTTTCGACTTTCTCCTCAAGCACCCGAATATATAACACGTCACCGATGTCCGCGTGGTCGAGCAATGAACTCGATTCATCGGCGACGCTCGCGCGTTATAACTAATACATTACGTCGACGGGCGTAATCGTTCGGTCGTTTAAACGGATAGAGGCGTCTCGGTGGTGGTAACGTAAATTTTGGGTAGTTGCTCGAAGAGTACGCGATACATACATATACGTGCAGAAAAGAGAGAGAGAGAGAGAGAGAGAGAGAGAGAGAGAGGAGTGGGAAGCGTGTCGCCCTCGTTGGGTGGCTGGATGGGTGGTTGGTCGGTCGGTCGGTCGGTCGGTCGGTCGGTCGGGTGGATGGGTGGGTTCAGCCGGGAACGGGCCGCGGCTTGAAACGATGGTGTACTGCCAAGCGAATGCTCATAAAAGCATTGATTAACTGTTGGCGGTCGTAGGTCAGCCGGCACACGGCTGGCCCGTGTACCAATAAAACCCGGCTAATAGTGACCCGACATCGCTTCAATATCATGCGTCGACCATCCCGAACGTTCTCGTGTTGCCGTGTCCGCGACAATTTTCACGCTGAAAAACAGTAACGTCAAAGTAAGTCTCGGTCGTCTCGTGTCAAGAATTCTCGGTCTGCCTCTAATTCCAGAAATTCGCGCGTTTCCCTAAATCCACCACCGATCGATTGAGCGAGAAATGATACTTCGATTGTACGACTACGGTAAAAATTAAAATAATCTATATAGACATTGGGTGCTCGTTGATGCTCCGAGAACACGTGGATCTTATACTTGTTCCGTTTTTAATTTGGAGAAGGATATATTCCCGCGCAGTAGAATATACCCATATATACCTTGTATCATCACCTTGCTGAAGAGTTAATTTGATTAATTATATTTATTACGAACGTACAATTTGATTAATTATACTTATGATTATTAACTGATTTGTGTTAACTTACTATTGCGTACCTAAATATCGCGCCTGACTCATATATTTGACGTTTCCTCATTTATTATTTGTCTAATTTGCAAGACCTACTGTACTTTTTTAACTTGAAGAAGTAATCCGACGTGCTCGTAGAATTGCTTTACACATTTCCGGGAGTCACGCATATATAAGATTTTAATTGCTGCCGGCGCGCATGAGTACTTAATGAGCAGTTATGTTTTGTTGATGATTTGATAGGGAGAATAGATTACTATGAATAGGTATCTCTCTTTTGACGACGGCGTTACTTGTATATTCATAATTAGATGTTATCAATGGATGGTGGAGAACTTAATAACTGGCGTTATTGCTAATTTGCTTAGTAATTACGAGTTAATATTAAAAATAGTAGATTACGTAATTAAAATTGGCCATTTTTTTATATGGCTTTTATCGTTTTGTATTAATTTTCTAATCTAAATCTATGTTCGTTGTAACATTTATAAATATATTTGTTTCATATACCTAAACAAATTCAAATCGCTGTATATATTATAGATGCGAAAACAAAGGTGTTAATTATCGGAAATGATATATTGTAAATTTATTTAGACATAAAAATACTAAATATCGCAAGTAACGTATTACGGATTAACGACCGTTGACGGAAGTATCAAGTATATATTTCGTGTGCTTGTGTGTAAGTTTGTATCCAGTCCTTCTAACCGCGGGCCATCACAGCCCACGAAGTTGCGGTTGATGATTCCGACCAGGCCAGGTAGCCGCGCAGGATAATTAATGAATTGGGGAAACGATGGCCGTGAGACGAGGATATGTGGATTGTATTGATAATTTTTCTCGGTTAACCGTATTAAAGGAATACGTATCGGAACACAAAAGTCGTTGGAGAACCCTGAAATTTTCCCGAGGTCCGGAATTACGCTCACACCGCGGAGAGAGAATCGAATAAAAAATAACCATGATGAGAACGTCAAGAATACAATCAATTTATATAGACTGTTATTATGCTATATTGATATTGGAATATAATAAAAATTTACTTCACACGGTCAAACTTATCGTTGATAAATGATTGTTATTGCGGGCGTTGATTCCCATGATAAATTCAGAAGTGAACTTGAATTTTTTATTATTGATGGAACACAAAATGAAGCAAAATAGAATAGAGAGAGAGAGAGAGAGAGAGAGAGAGAGAGAGAGAGAGAGAGAGAGAGTTTTGAGATATAGTCTCTATACAGTCGGTCTATTATTTTTTGCCTTTGCGTCAGGTCAGTAACGATCCAGTCGATTTTCTACTCCTCATCGTTTACAATCAAGGTTCACTGTTTTTTTTTTATCCGGCACGATGTGGTCGCGCTTGATTGTTTTTTTACGAGAGGAAACAAACAGAGAGCACGCACAGTGCAGCGAAAAAGTGGCTACATCTCGGCGGAGGCTGCGAAGGGAAATGTAAGAAGGCGCCAGAGTTAATCGGAGTAACAAAAGCACCGCATGTATTAACCTCTTCATTTTTGTAACGCTTTTACTGCACGACGCGTGACCGTAAATCAATCGCGTCAAGAATTTTCGCGTTTCATCACTTTTTACGTCGCGAGGAAAGAGCCCGTGCACAGCCGACGTTGCAAATGAAGACGTCGACGGGAGAGGAGGCAAAAAAGAAAAAAAAAAAGAGTCGAAAGAGTTTGCACGTGCACGAGAGAGAAAGAACATGAGGTCTTTCTCTCTCTCTCGTTAGCATACGATGAGAAAAAAAGAGCATTATTAATATAATATATTATTGATATACCTTTTACCGGTAAACTGCTTCCCGCAATCACGCGTCAGAAAAATACAACTGTGGGACCATCGCGTGAATGCTGAGGGATGTTCGGTCGAGCCTTCTA